ACATTTTGACAAAATATTGTGAAGGTGATATTTCGATGTGTGTTATTTGTTAAATGTCAATCTTTTACTTGCCTGCATGACTTGGAATCATGTATGATATTCCTCAAAGGACCACTTAATTTGTCTTTCTTAGATTTGTTAGTGCCCTTTTTTTTTCTTTTTTTTTTTTCCCAAGAATTGGATTTGTATTTGTCATAGAGAGAGAGAGAACCGTATTACATTAGCTAACTTCTCGAAGAGTATTTAGTAGTGAAAGCTATCAGGCGTTTCTGTGACTGGTTATGAAGCGTGTGATAGTGAAAGAAATTCCTGCAATGGGGTTAGGGTGCAGTAGAGCTGGAAGGAAATCCACCCAATCCAATTTGCACGAGTGAGAAATACTGTCAAGTTGATTTCTCTAATATATTTTTTTTCTCTCAGACTAAGTTAATATTACCGCTTACCTTATCATATGAACTTTACTGACCTGAGAAACTATGCGTTTGTGGAAAATAACAATGATGTCAAATGGACTTAACCATGTGGCTCGACTGAAATTAATGTACAAGGAAAGCCTTTCTCTAAAGTCTTGTAGTTTTCTTTAATTTTTGTAATCATGGTTTTTATGATTCTAAGCAACTTGTTTTTAGGACATTTATACTAATAGAGCATGCTGTTCAAGTACTATCTTGTTTGTTGTTATTTTCATCTTAGCTGTTTTCACTGATGCTGTTAATGTTCCTTCTCTCTCTCTCTCTCTCTCTCTCTCTCTCTCTCTCTCACTAATGGACAGCTTTTGCTGCCATGGTGGAGGGAAAAAGTCAGGAGATGTCAACAAAAGAATTGTCAGGAGGAGCCAGGATCCACTACATTCTCCAGTCAATTTTTGTAAAAAGCTTGGAGGTACAATGCACTATAGTTTTTTCTAAACATGCAATTTCTTAAATGACCTTTGTTAATTGTTTATACTGCTTCGTCGTTTTGGTAAGTTTTAATCTAAAACCATAGACTACTATGTCAGTCAGTTGCTGTCTTCTGCATATTTGTTTGGTGTCAGCGTACCGTGAAATTTGTCTTGAAGAAAACCTGTAGTACTTATGTATAACATTTTCAAGGCACCGAGTTGTAGAATTAATGTTCCAGTGTAAGACATGTACCATCAGATTGGCTATACTAACTCTCAGGAATTGTAGGGTGTGGACCCCTCCAACGATCTAACTGATGATGATATTCGAACGGCTATTCAAAATGCTTCTGGTGCAAAAAATGCTCTATTTGTGCCTGAGGTGAGTATAATGATGATTACATGCTGTAGTTTTGCATCTTCCCTAGTATAACGCCGATGCCTTGGTTCTACTCAGCATTGCCTGATATGTTTCTGAATTATTGTTAGGTCCCATTTGAAACTTTAGTAAGAAGACAAATTGCTCGATTGCTAGACCCAAGCTGTCAGTGTCTGCGTTTTGTTTACGATGAACTAGTTAAGGTGAGATATGATTTATGCACCTGTGGTGCTTATGGAATTCTTATAGTATGTCCATGAATCCTGACGTGTAAGTATAATCAAGAAGATATAATTTCCCCTGCAGATAAGCCGCGCTTGCGAGGTTATTGAGTTGCAAAGGTTTCCAGTTTTGAGAAAGCATATGGATGAAATCATGATAAACTTTTTGCGGGAAGGTGCAAAGCCTGCTCAGAGGATGATAGAAAATCTTATTGAGATGGAGGTATCTCTTTGTTAGCCTTGTTAAATTAAGACTAAAGTTTATTCACTAAAAATTAAAATCTAGGCTGACATGTATGTACAGATTTTGTTAAAATGATTTCATGGACTCTCAAAATAGTGTTAAAATACCGGAATATTCTAAAATCTAATCAAATTGAGTTCGCAATAGTAAATAGTAACTGGTAAAACAAAAAAAGGCACCTTCCTCAACCCTTGGAAAAAATTGCGATTCTAACATTTTGGCAATACAGTAAATTTTCAACTCTGCAGTGTATGGTATCCTATATTTTTCTCAACCCTTAATTTCGCTTTCGGGTGGTTCTTACTACCAATGGTGTGTTCTATTCAACGTGACACTCTTGAAATGAAAATGGTCAATTCTTAGATCTGTTGGTCATATCACACAAAATTGTGCTTAGTACTTATCTCTTCACTGATAATATATGTTTTCTTTTAAGTGATTGCTCAGATTTACATGCTTCACATTTACTCAAATGCTGATTGCCCAACTTTCTTCCATTCAGGTGGATTGTATAAACACTTCGCATCCATGTTTTATAGGTGGGAAGAAAGCTTCTGAGCTTGCTATGCAACAGTTGAAAGCACAACAGGTATCTTCTACAACATTGGTGTATGATAATTTTATACATGGTGAAGCGGTCCTGAATCCTGATCATGTGTTGGATTCATAGCAAATATATTGTCATGAACTTTCAGTTTCTTTAATCTTACAGTCCTATGTTTTGTTTTTGTTACAGAAGTCCTTTCATATTACCCCAAGTCAATTATGAATTTGAAATCTCGGTTTGATATGATCTGAGAGATCAGAAAAGTAAAATATACAGTGGTGGCTTTATTTTTTATTGACAGTCTATGGAGATTTCTGTTTAGTGTATTTTTCGTTCTTATTTTGAGAAAGGAAAAAGTTGTTGGGATTTGGTTCTTCATTCTCATCGAGAGAACTTTTTGTATGATCTCTATCATCAAGTTCATATCAATAGATTTAGAGTGGTTGCATGCTATATTCCTTTTTTTAGGGTAACGCAATTTATTCGTTATTGTCTTTGCACTATTATTCAACCCAATCATCATTAGATCTCATATAAAAGGGTTTTTCAATTATCTGGTATACCTAAAAGTTGTTCTTGTATGTTTCATGGTGTTACGGATGTTGAAGGCCAGACATCTTGAACTGTTCAGGCTAAGATAGTTATGAATGGAATTTTACCTTACCAAGTATGCTGTTCATTTTTAGTTGACAATATTACAGGAGTGAAGAAAACTCTGGTTACGAGCAGTGCTTTCCTTTTAAATCAGTTTTCAAGTTAGCTAAAAGTTAATTTGCGAATCCAAGTGAATGGGGGTAAACTTAGATTTGTGAAAGCTAGTTTGGAGGGCCTTACTACTTTTGGCTATCTTTTTTCTTTCATAGGATACCTTCGATCTTAATATAGTTTTTGTGTTTGGCAGGGAAGTCGTCCTCAGCTGAAGAACGAGAATTCTGTATCTTCTGGTAAACTCATGTCTACTATATCCAAGCATTCTGCTACCTTTGGGATATTGAAACCTGCTTGATTTTGTTAACATGATTCTTGTGTATATGTGTGTGTGTGTGTGATGGTATGTCTATCTATTAATCTGCCATTGCTAAGATCAATGAATTTTGTTAACAGGTTCTACGAGGACTTGGGGTATTCCATCTATATTTGCGAGTAGTACATCAGGTGTACAGTCTGGTAGACCTTTTGGTGAACAACGTCATTCGGAGTCAATGCCCTCTACAATCAATTTGAGAGAGGTACATCTGTGGTTCACAGAATTTTATTTCTTTATAACTTATTATCTACTTATTCATTTTAGAATTTAAATGTGACCCCTTTGTTTTTCCCTCTGTCCTTGCTGATTTCAGCCACCATCCATCTTAAGGCCAGTTGAAACGACAGAAAATGAAGCAGCGGAAATTATTGTAACCAAATTACTGTTGAAATCCTATTATGACATTGTCAGAAAGAACATTCAAGACCTAGTTCCAAAAGCTATAATGCACTTTCTGGTATACCTATTTTCTTCTTCTTCTTTTTTTCTTTCAATATGTTAGTAATTATATTACTGGTTACTATGAAGTACATTAACATGTATCTTTCTTACTGTGGCATAGGTCAACTCTACGATAAAAAACCTTCAAACGGGCTTTATTCAAAAACTGTACAGGTATGGCACGTATGCTGTTGTTGAAAAGCGGGAATACAGTCCTTTTTCAGGCCATCATACGACATTTTTAGTCTCTATTATGACTATGTGAAGACACATGGACTGCATTTGTAACACAAACAAAAGCACTGCATTACCGGCATGACTTCTGTGAATTACTCGATATCCTGCATGAATGTGTTTCTGTTGGTTTTGCGGCATACTGTTGATTGGAACTTCGAGGGTGATTTGCTTATGCTAATTATGCAGGGAGAACCTGTTTGAAGAACTGTTGAAGGAGCATGATGAACTTGATTCAAAAAGAAAATGTGACCAAAAGTTGTTCGAAGTTTTGAAGCAATCTCTTCAGGTAATTTTAAACTTTTAATGTTTGAGCAGTAAATGCCTGCCTGCTTTCCATGCCTTCTTTTTACCTTGGTTCTATGTTTTTCATGGACCCAAAATTCACAAAGAAGGGCTCTTGGAAGCCTTATTGAGTAATCCCCCTGTTGAGTTCTCTTAATTCGTATAGTTTTACTCCTAGGATTTCATAGATTGTATGTTATTATGTAGAAATTCTTGTTGGTTTTCTTTTCCAATGAGTAAACTTGAACTGTTTGCTTGATCTAGACACTCGAGAAGGTCGAATTTGATGTTTCAACCCAAACTTAAAGTATTGGCACTGATTTTTCGGTTGGACTGTCAAGGATTCCGAGTACTTTGCCTCATCTGCACAAAACATCTGAGGTGAGCCAGTTCACACACCATTCGTTTTCCATGCCATACACGACTGACACCACAGCTTGAAGATCATTTCGACAAGAAAATCAGGCATTGTCCACATGGAGTTGATATCAAATATACTAGTATTATGGTGGTCCATTAGGCGATTAGCATTAGTGATTACCAGGTTGTACAGCTTCCTCCTCCTGTATCATTTTTTGCATATGGAATGAATAAGTTGTATGATGATTAAAGAGTCGGTTCAAAATAGATGAGTTGTATGTGTTGGGAGTTTTGATCGGTGCTGCAAAAGTTTCGGTTTTAAAGACGTTTTTCTTTAACTAGTGAAAAATGGGTGTGAGTATATTTTGCAAGCAAGGTATACAAGATAACGGAACTATCTGATAACGCAGATGCGAGTTAGGCCACTCGGCCATGATAGTTTTGAGAAAGCCACAACAAAGGTTGCATCTTAAGCTTCCAATGAGAATCCAAACGTATAAAAAGTACAAATTTATAATTTCAAATCGTCTTCCCGGCAGTTCACAATCTCCTATGCGTCCTTACGAAGTTTGTTGTGTTCAACGCCACCGCGTACGAGCATGCATAAACCCCAGCAGAGCTGATTGCTGCTGAGACTAATAGAATGGCCTTCCACTGCCTGCCTGAGACAAGAATTGCCAATGCAGCAAATGCAACAGCAACAGCAGTGAGGCCCTTTTGCCATGCTTGGAAAGCTTTGACAACGTCTCTGCAGATTTTGCAGTGGACCACGTGCCGGAAGTACCGGTTGGCCAAGTTTGGAGCGTGCATGGATCCAATGCCTCCCTTTGCCGGGAAAGACGCAGAACCACCGGCTACAAGTCCGGCTGGTGCGTGTTCCACAACAGCCGGTTCTTTGGGCAACGAGATTGTGCTGTGTCCGAAATGGTAAGGCATTCCATGCCCTACTTTGTCCATCCATTTTCGGTATTCAGCCACCCAAGTATCTGAAGATTTCAGGTTAATGTACAGCTCTTTGGTGGGTACTTTTTCCTTCATGAGTATCTCGTTTTGCGACGAAAGAAATCCCATATCTTGCTCGAAAACCTTGCCTGCATTCTGATGAAAGTACCATTTCGGAAACAGTTTCGCGACCGGGGACCTTTTTGTTCCACCAAATCTCACAATGAGCATAGACTTCCCTTGTCCAGTTGGTCTACAAAGAAATAGACCTGAAAAGTAGTGTTTTTCCCCAGTTTTTTCATCAACAATTTCCCTGTTGTTTTGAAGAGAGCATGGTGCCTCAAACCTCAAGAAGCTTTTCGCCGATGGATCAGTTGCCTTGCCCCACCAGCCTGCGAATCCTCGATCAGTTCGTTCAGTGACCTCAAAACGCAATGGTTGAGCATCTTCCCTTTTCGCACTCCAATCCGTCCTGTCATGTGAGATTGGAACATGGGCAGGATCCATGAGATTCTCCAGAAGTATGGAGTGATCATAAGGGAGCTCATTAGTCGTTGAAGTGTCTTGAAACCCCGGCCGAGCGAAGTTCTCAAACCATGGAATCTTAGCCGGGTTTGGTGGTGTCTTGTGAGACATCCAAACCCACACAACCCCTTGTGAGTCCCTCACCTTGTATGTCTTCGCGCAAGCTGATTTCGGAATTTTCGCATCGGTTGGAAGCTGTAGTACAAAAACATAATTAGGCACTCAACATAGTTAACAGACACTGATTCAGGAGTCTCTATCACTACGAAGGTATCCCAGCTAATCATAAATTGCCATGCTTTTTTATTTTCTCAAAAAACAGTGCGTAATTAGCTCGAGATACTATCAGACTCACAGTAGCATCTCGTCCTTGTTAGTGCGTGAACAAAAGACGAGAGACACAGACCTGAGGAATCTTTACACATTTTCCTTGGCCTTCAAATTGCCAACCATGATACAAACATTCCAACCTTCCATCAATCAGCTGCCCTTCCGATAGTTTCGCCAACCTAGCTAAGAGTGGATTGTCATGACTCACAAGTCATAACTAGTTAGTAAGTTATTACGACGCGAACTATTTTTATACATTTAAATTAAAAAACGTTACAACATAAACATGCACAGTAGCTCTCTAAGCTTTAACCAGTTAGTAAGTTAATACAACACTAACAACTATTTTGGACTCTAAATTAGCCACTTGAGCTTCAAATATCTAGAAGAATCTAGAATCAAAAGACACAGTTACCTGTGGGGGCAGCGATCCTGGTAGCACTGGAGCTCTCCATTGCCGTCCCTATAGAGCACAAGCTGCTTATCAAACACCGTGAGACCCAGAGGAGCATCTTCCGGAATGTCCTGGGTGAGGTACAGAGGGTACCATTCCTCCGTCCAATCATAATCCGCCGCCACCCTCTCTCCCCTCCTCTCCGCCTCGGTGGTTGGACCCACCAGTACCTTGTGATCCTCCTGATCCTCATCAAGCGGCGGTGAAGCGGCAGGAGGAGGTGTGGTGTCTGCAACTGCAGCACACTTGATGCTGCTGAAGCTCATCTTTCTGGAAGGAATGAAGGGTCGGGGATGGGTTGGTGGGGAGAGACATAAGAGGAGTTTGAGCGGCTGTGGTTGCTTGGGGGTTTGGGGGAGGTGGAGGGAGGTGGAATGGGAGAAGAGGGGGTGGAACAAAGCCATGTTTGAAACCATGTTTGATTGAGTTGGGGAGGAAACAAGGGAGGAAGAAGATGGTGACATGGAAATAAAAGGAAGAGGGGGAAAGCTAAGGAGGAAATAAAGCCATGTGAATATGTGATTCTAGAGAGAGAGAGAGGAGAGAGGGAGGAGTGAGAGAGTGAAACTCTGTTCGGGGTTGCTTATTTGCTTGTTGCACTTATGTTAGCCACATAATGTTTCGAGTTTGGTCAGTCAACAAGAAATAGTTCTAAGACTGATTAAGTTTCACACGTACACATGTCCCCTTTAGGTACTAAACATCATTTACAATAGTAAAACAAACCCTATTTCAAGTGTGTGAGAAGATATTAGGCATGTTTAACTGAGTAAGGCAACTCTCACGCTGAGTGGAATTAATTGATTGTAGATCACTTGAGGTTGTCGAGTGGAAGTTGAACTATAATACATGAGGCTCATGCTTTTGTGAAAGGTTGTTAGAGATGACTAGGTTAGTGAACTCCAACATCAATTTTACTCCTTATTGATAAACAAAAAACCGAATGTAGCAACTCATATACTTTCAAACACTACTTTTATCTCCTCGTTGTGCTCGGGATACCGTTACTATGTAGTTGCAAATAATATGGATGTAGAACTCATTGTAAATTTGGAGTTATGTAAATCATGAAAAAAATTGACGGTATCAACAACCGGCCTATTAGCTCAGCTGGTTAGAGCGTCGTGCTAATAACGCGAAGGTCACAGGTTCGAGACCTGTATGGGCCATTTCCTTTTTCCTCTCCCTCCTTTTTTTGTCGTTTCTCTCCATCCGCACGTCCTCGGCGGTACAGCGCGGCGGTGTTCAGTCCTCCTCTCCTTTTTCTGCTGGTTCTGGTGGGCCCAACCAGGAGCTTTTCTTCTTCCTTGTTCCTTTCGGTTAAGTTGAAATGGAGGTGCGGATTAGGTTGAGGAATGATGACTGCTCACAATTTGAAAACGAGAATTGGTGGGTGAGTTGGTGTTTGTTTGTTCCCGATGGATAGAAAAGCAATTTTAGACTGACTGGTTGCTTTCTTTTTCAAAGTCCCACTTCAAATTGCAGATGATGAATTACAAGAATTTGAACGTAAAAGAAACACATTGTTCCAGTCAATTTGATTACGCCCGAGTCGACTATCAATTGATTTATTTGTTACTCAACTCTACATGTATCTTTCCATAAAAAATTTATGATTACTCACACTTCTCCGATTCTGCTTGTTTGTAAAATAAAAAGGTGAAATGAGTTTCTGTTTCGTACTCATGTTTTAATAAATGTATATGATTTAAGAATCAAAATCATTCAAATTCCTTCTACATATAACAAAACATCAGTTACTCAATAACCTCAATGTTAATCATCTACTTAAAACTTTATATATATACAAATCAATAAAATCGTTAGCGTGGTTTGACCAGAATAAAATTTCGTCAATCAAAATATCTTTAGAATGTCATGTACGAATGGTAAGAAGTTTGATATTATGATGATTTTTGTAGAACGATGCCAAAGTGATTAAAAATCATGAATAGTTGAAATTTTTTGTGAAAACACAATTGTTAAAATTTCGTATTCTCCCTTTCGTATGCATTAAAAGTGTTACAAATGTTGCAAAATATTTATTCCGAGAGTAATTACGATCGTTAATTTTTTTGAAATTGTTATTAGTACTCCAAAAATCTCATTTTACACTCTAAATTTTCTAATATTATTAGGAAATAAAGAAAAATATAAAGTAGTGTAGAATAAGATTTTTGAAATGCCAATAACACTTTTTTTTTTCTTTTTTCTATAACATCGTTTGTTTTAAAAAAAAAAATTTTGTTAAGTTTTAACAACACAATAATTAAATTAGCAAAATTGAAAACAGTATTCGAAGGCGGCAACCAGTCTTCTGCTCTAAACTGCAGTATAGGGTTTGGGTTTCCCTCCATTCCAGTATTCGATTCCCTTTCGAGGATCACCGGCATCGGAATGAAGATTGCAGTAGAAGGTTGCATGCACGGCGACCTCGACAACGTCTACCGAACCCTCCAACACTACGAAAAGCTTCACAACACCACCATCGACCTCCTCCTCTGCTGCGGCGACTTTCAGGTACCGCCGCTCACTTTCCCAAATTCCCCAATCACCCCTTCACTCTTGCTTGCTTGCCCTACTTTTTTTATTTTCCTGTACTCAATTTTCTCTGAACGTAGCGATTTTTAGTTGAATTAATTGTTCAATTTCCCAAATTTCGGGACTTGCAGTTCCGCTCTGGCTTCTTTGCCCTAAATTTTCAATCTTTCTGTTGGGGGTATTAATTGTTTATGAAATTAGAGGATTTGATTCATCATGAGGGAGCTATTGGTTTTGTGAAATTAGGCTGTGAGGAATGAGAAGGACTTGGATAGCTTAAATGTGCCTCACAAGTTCAGGAGCATGAACACATTCTGGAAGTATTATTCCGGCGAGGCAGTGGCTCCGTACCCGACCATATTCATCGGTGGGAATCACGAGGCTTCCAATTACTTGTGGGAACTGTGAGTCCCTTCTTTAACTGTAACTTATGGCCTTCTCTTCCAATTGATTTTGGTGTCGTATTTTTTTTCCGCTTTGGATTAATAATTTGTTGCGGATTTTTTACTTGTTTATGCTGTTTTATAGGTATTATGGAGGATGGGCAGCACCTAATATTTACTTCTTGGGGTTTGCTGGTGTTGTCAAGTTCGGAAACCTTCGGATTGGTGGACTCTCTGGAATTTATAAACAGCCCAATTTTCTAAAAGGTTAATTTGCTTTACTTTTGTACTGTTGCAGGTTTTTAGTTCTTTGCTTATCTTTCGTTGATAAAACAGTAGCTGTTTTTGTTTTTCAATTAGTTGTAAGCATAGCTGTGGTATGTGCAATTTTGATATATGGTGTTAAAAGTTTAAACGGGGTTCATTTTTTACCCTCCTGAGCAGGACACTTTGAGAGGCCTCCTTTTAATGATAGTACTATCAGGTCCGTGTATCATGTTCGTGAGTATGATTTCCACAAACTCATGCAAGTTGAGGAACCAATTGATATTTTTCTTTCGCATGATTGGCCTGTTGGCATCACGGATTGTGGGGACTGGAAGAAACTTGTTCAGCAAAAACCATATTTTAAGCAGGAGGTAAATGCAAGAATAAAAAATTAAGTTAGTAAGTTCAGATTGGTATGATTCGAATCACTTATGTCGTTTAAAATGTCATTAGGTTCAAGAAAGAAAGCTTGGAAGTAAACCAGCTGCTCAATTGCTCGAAAAACTGAAACCACCTTATTGGTTTTCAGCTCATTTACACTGCAAATTTGCTGCTTGTGTTCAACATGGGGAAGATGGTCCAGTGACGAACTTTCTTGCTCTTGATAAGTGCCAACCAGGACGTAAATTTCTACAGGTATTTGATGTGTTTCCAAAAGTAGCATAAAGGATGTTCCCTGTAGTCATTGTGGTAGTTAATAGTTCTATATGTGACATTTTTCTGGCATTTTAGGTTATTGAAATTGAATCAGAACCGGGCCCTTATGAGATTCAGTATGATGAAGAATGGCTAGAAATAACTCGGCGGTTTAACTCTATTTTCCCTCTCACAACCAGAAGTGCAAATCTTTGGTGTGTACATCTTTCGAAATGTATTGTGCATGCTACCAAGGATCTGATAGTTAAACTTTATATCTCTTCCGTAATCTTTACCCTTTAAAGGGTTTTTCTCTTGTAAAGTAGCTACTGAGTGCGTATGTTAATATTGTAGGAATGTACGTCTTGACAAACAAGAATGTCGTCAGTGGGTCAGGAGCAAGTTACAAGCAAGAGGGGCCAGACCCTTTGAATTCACTCAGACAGTTCCACCATACAATCCCTCTCAATCTGTCGCTTATGGTTCCTTCCCTGGTAAGGATCAACGTCATTTAGAATGCTGTTAAAACAAGAACATTTTATGTACATACTACAAATTTCTTTTTGGCAGGACACATTCGGAATCCTCAGACAGAATCTCTATTGCACTTTCTGGAACTTCCTTACCTTCTTGATAACATGTCACAATCATCCGAAGTACTCCCAAGTCCTCATAGAGGTAAAAATTCGTTCTCTCGGCTCATAAAGTGAGGGTTTATTATGTCAGTTGCGGGGTAAATTTTGCTGAGTGTTTTTTTTGTTTAACAAATCATTTTGTCTTTCAAGCTTCAAACTAATTGCAAATCTTTCCGCAGGTTCTGTTGAAGAGAACAGTGAAGACATTCCCATTGATGATGTGGATGAGTTGGAAGAAGATGCTGTGGATAGCGAAAATGAAAATTCGTGAAAACTCCTAAGTTATCTGCTCTTCAGGCATCTATCTTTTGTCAGTTTCAAAATATTTGGGGTAATCAATGCCGTTAGGCTCTCAGTCGAGGTTTTTTGACTCGAATTTTATGCATAAGCTTTGATGCTCTATCAGGTCGGCCTGGCCTCATCTGTCATCCCCCACATCCCCACTCTGCCCTCTTTTCTCGTCCTTTTCTTTCGAGTTTTTTCCATTTTTTTTGGGCCTGTTGTAAAATATCTTTTATTCAGTGTCTAATTTTTGTAGTAGTAAGTGAATCGTTTGCTACATTGACCCATGGATCGAGAAATGTACGACTTTTGTTTTCTATCGGAAAGTAGATATATTGACTTGTAAGACAATATCTTCAGTGTGTTTTAGGATTGGTGGCTTTGTTATTGTTAATTAGCTTTCGGGATTCATTTCGCCTCACTTTGATATCCCCCTCGAGCAAAATCTTGGGTATAACCGGTAATATATCACCGTCTGTTTATCTCACACAAGGCGCAACCACACTTTGTGATAAATCAGGGGTCCGACTCCTGCATTTCAGTCCTCTTGTTTGCGTCTTTAGCGGACAGGTGGCCATACCAAAAAATTATCCGTTGCAAGGAAATTCTTCTTTGAAAGGGCACTTTCAAGAGTTCGAACAAAAATTGAGATTGAGTCGTTAATATCTGCATTATAAAAGCAATTTAAAGGTAGACAACACGAAAGACATGTAGCTTAAGTTGTCATGAAATGAGCCAACAATGTATGTCAGAATGTTAGCTTCGACCATTCGGTCGACATTTCAGGAGCTCACACTGTCGGATCAGCTTGCTGCAGCGCATTCAGTTACCGGTTCAAGCAAGACCCCAAAGGAAAACTCACTCATTGATACATCCTTAGACAATGCTTATGCAGAGGAGCTCATGAGACAGTGCCCTGCAGCAGGTGCAAATCCGTCTACAACGGTAAAAAAGGATCCTAAAACATCGTTTGCATTCGATAATTAGTGCTACCAAAATCTGCTAGCCCACAGAGGTCTGTTTCAATCGAATTCCGTCCTACTAAGAGATGGCAGAACAAGAAAACAAGTGGAGATTGTTGCAGAGGACCAAGTTAGTTTTTTTGGGAGTTGGACTCTGGTCTTTATTGAAACTTCCGAACATCGGTGCGAAGACGGATGATGAAGGCGAAATTCGAGCCTTTTGTCCGACAACAAATGCCTGTGAAGGAATGGAAATGCCTGGAATCTGGTGATGGTTTTGTTGGTTGGAGGAGAAAAATTGAAAGGCAATGTCAAATTGAAATGGTGGTACTTTTTGAAAGCGTTGCTCAATGTCGAAAGTTGTTCAGTATTCGTTTTGTAAAACATTAAGAGTTCTTATAACTTAGAAGACCAATACTTCAAAGTAAAATGGTTGTTACCTTTATTTTGTGTTATTGTCTTTCATTTCAAATAAGAGTATAGTTGCGAGATACGAGTTGCTGAATAGTTGTAGAATGTGAGTAGTTGATCGATCGACATAATATATTTGGTCAATCAATCTCACATACTACAAAATTTGATATGAAAAAAAAAATATTGCAAGTTTGTTCTGCATTGGTGGCGAGAGAATTTTTCTGTTGCATTACTCAAAATCTTGAAAGGAAACAATAAACAACCCATTGGTCAAAAAGTTAACTTTCTTTTTGTGACAAATAATATTTTAAATTACTTTAACCCACGACTACAAAAAATCATCACTTATCACGAATTTGGGTATTAACCCAAATAGAAGAAGTGGGTCGAATACTTGGCATGCCCATGCCCGACCCATGTCCGGGAATATATACTATTTAAAGTTTGAACAAAGCGACCGACCGTTCCAATTAATTTAAAATTGGTATTTCAAACAAGCAAAACTGAACCCGCCAGTTGTTGCCGGCACTTAGCTTCTGTGGTGCAGAGCCAGAAGTTTGACCCAGAACCTCTTCTGGCACGATCAAGTTGACATATTTACTTGTTTTCTACTTGACGGCCTTCGAAAAGTGAAAGCTTTTGCCGTTTATATGTATCGAAACGGTAGTGGCAGCTACTCATGAATGAGGGCAGTGCACTCAATTCTTGACGGCACAGTGAATGCTTTGCGCAAGGTTTCGATAACCCATTGCAGGGAATTCAAATTAGGAGCCCTCGCAGACGTTTACTCGGCCAACAATATCCTCAATGGATATGCAAGATGTCAAGATTTTTATCTTGCACACAAAATGTTTGATGATATGCCTCACAGAGATACTGTCTCTTGGAATACGATGATCGCGGGGCATGTAAACTATGGAAGCTTTGAGGGTGCGTGGGAGATATTGAACTCCATGAAAAGATGTGGGTTTGATTCTGATGGGTATACATTTGGAAGCATACTTAAGGGTGTTGCTTGTGCTTGTCGATGCGATCTTGGGCAGCAAGTGCATTCTACGATTGTTAAGACGGGTTATGTGGGTAATGTTTATTCTGGAAGTGCCCTTTTGGACATGTATGCAAAGTGTGGGAGGGTTGAGGAGGCGTATGTGGTTTTCAAATCCTTGCCAGAACGTAATTCTGTGTCATGGAATGCGCTAATTGCTGGTTTCGTGCAAGTAGGCGATCGCAAGACTGCTTTTTGGTTGTTGAATTTCATGGAGCAGGAGGGAGTGAAGCTTGAGGATGGCACAATTTCTCCACTTCTGACATTGCTTGATGATGTCGAGTTTTACAAGTCTGTTGCACAGCTCCATTGTAAAATTATAAAACATGGGCTGGGATGTGAAAGTACGGTATGCAACGCGACAATTACTTCATACTCAGAATGTGGGTCGATAGAAGATGCGGAAAGAGTGTTTGATGCTGCTTTTGGTAACAGAGATTTGGTAACATGGAATTCCATGCTAGCAGCATACTTGGTTCACAATAACGAACTAGTCGCTTCCAAACTTTTCATCGACATGCAAATGCATGGATTTGAACCAGACATCTACAGTTATACAAGCATCATCAGTGCCTATTCTGAAGTAAATAAAAACCATGGAAACTTCTATCACGGGTTGGTGATAAAAAGGGGATTAGAAAAATCAGAGCCAATCTCAAATGCTTTGATAGCCAGGTATCTCAAGTCAAATAAAAATTCCATGGAAGAAGCGCTGCGTATCTTTGAATCCATGGAGTCTAAGGATCGTGTTTCATGGAACTCCATTTTGACTGGATTCTCACAAATTGGTTTAAATGAAGATGCCTTGAAACTCTTTGGGCACATGAGATTTTTGGAGGTGGAGATTGACCATTATGCTCTCTCAGCTGTTCTTAGGTCATGTTCAGATTTAGCAACCCTCCAACTGGGTCAACAGTTTCATGCATTGACGCATAAATCAGGTTTCCAGTCCAATGAATTTGTCGCTAGTTCTTTGATCTTTATGTACACAAAGTGTGGGATCATTGAGGATGCTAGAAAATCCTTTGAAGAGACCCCCAGAGACCGCACAATCACTTGGAACTCGATCATTTTTGGATATGCACAACATGGGCAGGGATATGTTGCACTCGACCTCTTCTTCCAAATGAAGAAGGAAAAGGTGAAACTAGATCATATAACGTTTATTGCAGTACTAACTGCTTGTAGCCACATGGGTTTAGTAGAACAAGGCAGCAAATTCCTAAAGTCTATGGAATCCAATTATGGAATAACCCCGCGAATGGAGCATTATGCTTGTGCAGTAGACCTATATGGGCGCGCTGGGCGTCTAGATGAGGCAAAAGTCTTGATTGAAGCAATGCCATTTAAACCCGACGCAATGGTTTTGAAGACTTTACTTGGTGCCTGTAGGGCTTGTGGGAATATTGAATTAGCTGCTCAAATTGCAGGCCATCTGCTAGACCTAGAGCCGGAAGAGCATTGCACTTACGTTCTTCTCTCCGATATGTATGGACATCTCAAAAGGTGGGATGAGAAAGCTAGTGTAAAGAGGCTTATGAGAGAGAGGGGTGTGAGGAAAGTCCCCGGCTGGAGTTGGATAGAAGTCAAGAATGAGGTGTTTTCTTTCAAAGCCGAAGATCGCTCCCACCCCCATTGCGAAGAGATATATTTCGTGTTGGGAGTTTTGATGGAGGAAATCAGAAGGATGGATGTTGCTGCTAATTTAAATGTTTTGATGCATGATTTCGATCATATCGACGGGTACTTTGATGATATACATCTCCAGAACCATGATTCAGTTTTGTTGGCTGCATAACGTAGGCTCACCATCTTTGCTCAAAATACCAAATTTTGTTTCACATTTGTATACTATTGTATGCACTATTTCATGTTCCAAAAATTTTAGAAATTATAAAAGAGTTGGAGCGTTCAAAGTTTTGTAAATTGATCAAATTCCAAAGCTCTGATTCAGTATGAATACAGGCTTTGTTCCAAGGAATCATCAACTTGCCTTGTCTGCTAATGTGAACATGTTGCAAAAAAGTAGTTGTGTGTTAGAACTTTTTCTGATGTGTGAACTAGAAAAGGTGGAGAAGTTATAAGGGAACTCCTCACATTGGAGGAAATCGAGGAGTAGGAGGGAACTTATCTACATCTTGATGACATTGTCAAGGTATATCACAAGTTGCATATAATTCAGATGCCATTGCATGATTAGTTAAGGAATATTGTCGTTGTTGTCGCATTTTTGTTGTACGAACGTTTTTCTCGTGTCGTTCAAAAGTGAGTTCTATATGTTTTGAAGTTGTGAGCAATAACCCGTCTTAAACAAAGAGATAACTATTGAAATAAGCTAAAAAAACCAAGTTAATTCAAAACTAAAAGCAACGGGTGGGTCTTGCAGTCAAGCTCTCTTCTGCCTTTGCACTTGATGGTCAATCTCAGTCTGTAATAAGTACTCTATGGTTCTGATCTTTAGCAGGCTTACTGATAAAGATCAATCGTTTTTTTCTAGATGCTTTGATATTCCCCTTTTTCATTCTAGTTATTGATATGGGAAGGGAGAAGAAGATGAATAGATCCGACCGCAACTTCGAATATGGAATTCAAGGGGATCAAATTGAAAATGATTCTCTGAATAATGGTTCTAAAACGCGTCTTTAGAGTAATGTCCTTTCTTAGTGTATCATGATGCATTGAAAAGGGGTGATGACATCCAAAGGAGGCATCCATGTGCAACCAGAAAATGAGCACATGAAGACAACCCAAGAGTGTGAATACAAAGAAAAATTCATCCCTGTGTAGTTTGGATAGTTCTTTGATGAATAATTAACAAAGCATTAGAAAAACAAGTTGTGAGCTGCCATGACAGTAATGCCTTTGTCTTTCATATCCCTTATCTTTTCCTAATGTAATATCAATCTTCAAGAACTAGCCACCACCAAATATT